GAGAAACATCCCGACAGAAAGCACAGGTTTGGTGCTGAGAGTGCAAGCCCGAGGTGGGCTCAGGTTACAGTCACCTAGCCATTCTTGATAAATATTTCCCAGAATCCTCCAGCTGGCATTGTCCGGATGCAGGAAGCGATCGATAGCTGCCGCTCCCCAACCCGCCAGACCACAATGTGTGACAGCTAGAGCCTCAGGGATCTTTTGTGTGTCAGTTGCAAAGACAGGTATATTAAGAAATCGTTGAACCCAGTGACCTGAGGGTGTTAGTGTGACTCACCGTTTTCTCTTGCTCCTCCTCTGCATCTGAGTCACTCTCATCATCTGAATGAAAAGAGAACATGTATTTTTTATGGTTTTTCTGTTTTTTGGGGTTGTGCACTTCTCAGAAATATAACATCTTGAAATATTTAGATGAACTGCACAACAAAGTTAAGTGTCTGTGTGATGGCAGGCATGTAAAGTAGCGTTTGTACCCTGGGAATCTTCTGGAGGTTTGGACAGGGCCTTGGCTTCATCCACATCACCACTGATTGAGACACTCAGGTTCTTGTCTGACATGGAAACAAAAATAGATAGTTGAGAATCGGGTCTTCTTTCCCATATAGACAAACTCAACATTAACGCAGCATATTCTCAAATGACTACTCACCACAGGCCTGGCCATAAGCATTGGCTTGAACAAATAGGACGTAGAGAGGTGGCGGCAGGTGGCGAGCAACCTCTGTCTGTATCTGAGTCTGTTCAAAAGGCATGGACAGGTACTCCTGCACCGGGAGAGAGGCCTGTGAAAGAAAAGAGAGCAGAAATCATATTGTTATTCAGGGGCTACATACATGGTGGTAAGACCTTCACCTCAATAAAGAAAAAATGTGAAGAAATTTAACTAAGCAGTCGATATTATAAATAATAAATGAACAACACATTTTCAAAACATGCACAGCTCAGCTAGAAAAGTTCTGCTAATTCAGTGATTAACACATTTCATTTCCTATAAATTCTTCACAATAAAAGTTCCTAGATATTTTGTTATGTACCAGTTTTTAGCAGCCAAATACAGAAATATTGGGTATAACACGGCTCCTATACGGCTCAAAGCAAACATGAAACGGTAAAGTAAAGCAGATATCTGGAAGTACAAACAGGACACAAGAGAGAAACTAAACTGTATACCACATATTCAGTTATTCAGTTAGAAGCTACAAAAGCACCAACAGCTGAACACACAGGGACTTTTGAAAAAAAACATCTTTCTCTCTGGTCTTCTGCACAGATGGGAGTTGAGTCTTGCAACATATACTTGTTTGAGGGGGAGAAGAGGGGTTGTCAGCAGTTGGCTGCTGTCAGCAAGATGTCGCTGCTACCCACTCGGAGGCGTTGGGGTGCACTTCTGGCCTGAACTTAGAAGTGCCAATAAAAAAGGTCCCTTAAAGCATAAAACATTTACAATATAGCACCCAAAATGCTGTTATACCTGCATGATGGCATTGAGTCCTGGCTGCAAGCTTGTCAGATGCTCCTTCTTCACCTCAATGCTCTTCTGGATCTTCTCCTTTGTTACTTGTGACTCCTTATATTTCTCTGCCAACCTGTATCCAAGCACAAACTTTTAACAGCTGCTCTGTGCTCCCCAGCAGGCTGCTAATGCACTATGCTGTGTGCAAGTTTATATACCTCTTCCTCTGTTCAAGTTCCCAGTCTAGCCGTGCCAGCGTGAGTTGGTGAGGATCATTTTTTGTGAGTTGAGGTCTGGAAATATCCTGTGGCGCCCCCTGGTAAAACTCTTCTTCGGACACCAAGTCTATCTCCTCGTGCTTAGACCTGGATCAGGGAAAGGTACGTTAACTCAGCATTTTGAGTTGCGTTTTGTGTGTGTGTGTGTGTGTGTGTGTGTGTGTTAAAGTTACTAAGTAAATAAAGTGTATTATCATTATCACCACCGTGAAAGCATGTGTTCTTTAAAATATGGACATGAACTATCAACAGTGGAAGTCACAAGTCATATTTACAAGTTTTACTCCACCTGAGCAACTTGTTATATAACTAGCTATACATTTTGACTATCTCTTACATAAGTAATTATTTTTTCCCTCTTGAGTACATACTATAAATATAAATCTATATCTGTCAGAGAGAAATGGCATGTCTTTATTTCTAGGGCTTTATGTGATGCATATTTTTTTAGAAAGCAATTTGTATATTCACATACAAATGTAGACATTAACAAGGTCTGCCGTTAAGCTCTCTTGTTCATAGTGACTGTTCATTGTCATTGTGCTTAGTCTCAAGTGTGTTCAAAGTAAAAGATGTTTAAGTTGACATATATATTATTTTGTACTAACTTGAACTCCAGACACTTGCTGATCTCCTTCTGAAGATGCATAACTTCATACAGCAGGTTCTGTAACTGAAGGTGCAGCACATCCACTCTCTGCTTTGCCTGAGGGGGAAAATCTGGGGTTAAGGCTGGTTTGCAAACACAAACTAGGTAACCCTGGAAAACCATACATGCCAAACAATATGCTGAAAATCACAACCAAGATTCAGTAAGAATGAAGATCAATACACAGGATCTGAAACTGGATCAATAAATTCTAAGAGAAAACCAACCTAAGGGTGTAAAGCTTTCTTTGCTGACAGCGGCAGCTACTGCAGTTAGGTGTTAAAAGTAGAAACAAAGTGCTTGGTGTTCGACTTGCCTTTCCTGATCAGCACAAAAGGGAGCTGAGGCAGCACTTTTACAGCAAATGAATGGAATCGAGTGAACTTAAACCAAGCTGGTATTTCTTATGTCTCATGAACGTTGGACAGCATTTGAGAGTTGTGTGGGAATTACCTCGTGCGTCTGGTCTCTGCCTTTCTTCAGTCGCATATGAGCCAGACGATTGAGTTTTTTCAGATTCATGAAGTGAATGCAGCATTGCATACGTCTCTGCTCGATCTCAGCACACTGAGGACAGGCACAACTTGTTAGACTTTATTATTGTGGTGAAAACATAGAATCAGCTTTGTCTGAGATCATATATACAATGTTGTGGTGTATTAGGTTTACCAGGATTACGAAGTGTATGTAAAACATTTCTGCTGTTTGAGAATGTAGTACTTGTTTAACAAGACTGTATTGTCACTAAATTATGACTGAACCAAAAGCTGGCAATGGAATCAGTATATAATGAGTATGTTTGGATGTATATCTTAAGTCTGATTCTTACCCCCTCCTTGGCTCCACTGGCTTTAAGCTCCTGGATCTCACTCATGAGTGTGGCCAAACTCTCACATGACTCTTTGTACTGCAGGAAGTCCTGCTCAGGGTCCCTGCCATCCAGCTCTATCTCCTCACTATACACACGCGCATCCTGTAACATTAAAAAACAACATCATTAATATAATAAATCACACCACTGTTGGTCACCTAGTAACTTGAGCCCACTCTTCTTGGTGCTGTAAGAAATCACAGTGCTGAATCCATCACAACACCACTAGCGGGGATTTACACAGGTGATCAAACAGGTGCCAAATTTAAAGACTCTGAACTTGACTCAAACTTAAATACTGAGAACTCAAATGTTCACTATGCTACATTAGCAGCTGGTTATCTTGGTGACAATATAGTGCTTAAACAGACATGTACATCCAAGCTAGTGTGCACCAACAGTCCTTTGATCAACAATGATTTTGTTTTTCAATCACATGAGGCAGCGGATTTAATCATGTGATATCTTTTCTGTGATACTTACCGCCATGAAAGATGTGCAAAAATTAACTCTTAAGTTTGCTATGATGGTCAAAGTATTCAGTATCTCAGTGTCTATTATTTATCTGAAGACAAACGAGCTTGACTGTTATGAACTTCCTATCTGGATTACAATGCCCAGTGAAACCTTGTCGATGCGTATTTTTGCTGTTATCAGAGCACCCTGACCCCACACATTAAAGCACCCTGCTACTCCTCCCGGCGGTGTCCCAAAGTTACCTGCTGGTCCCCCTCCCCGCGACCTCGCTTCGTCTCTGGGGTTCCTCCTTCACTGCGGAGAACCTTCGACTTTCGCTTCTTTAAGGCGTCCGACGACATGGTTAACTGGATACGAATATTGGAAATACATAGAAAAAATACAATTAGACAGAGATAAGCAGTGAAAACTTTTCCCACTACTATTTATGCATTAGTAAGCTAGCTAATGCTAGCACTGTATCTTTGCAATGGCTGTGGCTGACTAGCTTTTTGGCTAACAACCGTTAGCTTGTCAGCTCATAAAGGCAGATTTTCAATCACAGATATCAAACCGTTGATATATTGTGTGTTTAATGTGATATACATAAATAGCCACATACCTCCTTGGTGCAGAAATACGGCTGAAATTAATAAATCGAGGGCAAATGCACACGTACAGGATACTTTGTTTAGCTAGACCGTGGGTTTACCCGTAAAGCGCCACAGACGGACGGAAGGCTTGACGTGCCAAAATACTCACACCGGCTAGCCAAAGGAGGAACCAACGGCTATACTGCCACCTATAGGATATATCGATAGTGGTAGTGCCCGTCATTTAAAAAGACAACTACTCTAAAGATACTTTAGATTATATAAGTTACTTTATTTCTTAACCTTATATTGTTCAATTGTTATCCCATACACAAAGAAAAAATATTAAAACACCAATGGTGAATATATATATAAAGGTACAGTAAAATAAGCAGCACCAGTCGAGACATCTTTTGAAAATTAATGTTCATACTGTAAACGTCAATGATGAGTAGATTTTTTTGTGCATGTAAAAAAACATGTCAAAATAATCTGATACTACCTTGGAAGCAGTATTTTAATGAAAAGTTTCATGAAATAAGCGATATAGAAAATTGCCCTTCCTACGTTGCAACACAATATCTCCTGAAAAACCATCATGCATATGCCTCAATGTACTATACTGTATAAATGCAGTACTTGAACATAATGTACCTATTTATATTTCACATCTGATCAAAAAAAAAAATCAGCCACATACAATCAAAAATGATTTATTCACAGCTCTAGTGACACTAAAAATGTACAAAGACACATATGACAAAGATCAGCAGTTACACAAAAGGCAAACATTTGCTCTACTTATTCTCTTTTACACATAGTAGACCAAGGAATCAGTCCGTCCACCCTCACTTGGCCATATCTATCAGACTCTGCAAAGACGTGGGGACCCAAGTCTTCTCTCCCTGCACAAACACAACCCCTCTGTCTATGTAAATGACAATACGCCCAAATGTGTACAGCTGTTTGCCCTCGTGCCGTTTGGCCACTAAGGGCATGAAGACAATGTTGTTCTCCTCTGCCTTGGTCTGGATGAGATCTTTGAAGTTAGTCGGCACACCAGCACTGATGCCCCTGTGAGCCACGCTCTCGGCATCTCTGCGCTCCTGCATCGCTTCATACTGGAAGTCTTTTCGTCTCTCTGTCTGTGTTAGATATGCAATGTTCTCCCTTGCACCAGGTTGCATATATCCACCTGTGAATATGAAAAAAAGTGAGTGTTGTAGCTCGGTTGCAGAAGAAAAAAAAGGGCTGAATTGTCATAATTTCATAAAGGATTGATGTGTAATTGTTTTCATATCTGTTTATCTCCTGAAAAGGTGTGCACTACTAACCCATGCCTGAAGACACTGCTCGGTTCATGATGTCCAAAGCTTCATTAAATTTCTCTTTAATGAGCGGCTGTGACAACAAGACGTCACTAAACATGCTCTTCCAGCCCAGGTACCATTTAGTGATTTCCTCATAGTTAGGACTGTTGCTCAGCCATGAACACAGGACCTTTAATCACCAAAACAGAGACAGACATAATTAAGTCCCAAAGAATTAAACATTTAACAAAATTCAATAATTCATTGCAACTAAGTGCATCTTAATAACTTTCTGTTCTGCTTAAGTTAATTTACTGACCTGCAACCACTTAGTAAAAAAGTTTTTGTCCAGCAGGGACACCAGGCTGGAGGGGGACAACATGCCCTCCCAATCCATCACCCAGTTAAATGGATCCATCTGCTGCTGGTGAGGGTTGATAACCAGCTCTTCCAGACACAGAGCTGTGGAGGGGCACAGACACATGAAGAAGATAAACCAGTGGGAATAAGAGGGACAGGGATAAGACTGTAGAGAAATACATTGTCCTCACTGGTAACCTGCTTAAGGCTACCACTGATGTAGACATACCTAGTTTAGGGATGATGTTTTTCACCATGAAGGCTTCCCATGCACCTGGTGTGAAAACATCTTTCCATGGCTGTAGGATGAGGCGGGCCGAGGCGTCACTTGGATGCCATCGCTGCAAGGCATTGGATAGCTTGCTCCGGATAGGTGGGTAGAGAGGCTCTAGACGTGATTGAAGCAGAGGCAGCCACGGATGGATCCAGGAGTGGATGGGCACTGTGTCAGTTAAAGGGTTCCAGTTATCTACCTATCAAAGCAGGAGAGGGAAAAAAAATCAGCTTGTTATGTTGAAGGCAATTATAATGAAATAATCAAAACCATGGGAGTCTCTCTACATCTGAGCAAGAATGTCGTTAACTAGAGATAGTGTGTGTGTGTCTTGCCTCTCGCTGTAGCCGAGGTAAGATCAGCTGCTCCATCAGGTGTTCCAGGATCCATATTGGGAGAAGAGGAGCCCACACTTCCACACAGTCCACCATCGGCACTACTATACGAGGCTGCCAGCCTGACACACAAGGTCGCATCACTGGGATCCACACTTCCCACAACAGTCTGGACAAACACAGACAGGACAAGCATTTCAGAAACATATACTGTGTAGTCAAAAACAGGCTTTAACTCCTATCCTGCAGAATCCATTAATGTAAATAGTTGAGCACAGCTTAATATATGTTTGTGTGTTTAAAATGACCTGTGGTAAGGGTCCATGTTTGAATCTGGGGCACTGGTATGGAGGTCTCTGGATTCAAGGATTGCTCTCCACTGACCGATGTCTTCCAGACAATAAGAGCTATCCTGAAATAATCAGAAAACAGTGTGTGAATTGGTATCTTTATTAATTACTACTGATTAAAGTATGTAGTGACCTCAAAAGAAGATGACTGCATGAGCATACCTTCAGAGGGTCCCAAGACCGAAGTTTTTCTTTGAGTAACGGCTGGACAACAGCTACAGCCAGGTCTGCCAATCCCATTGTCTTGTATTCTTCATAATAGTCTGTTTGTAAAGTCTCAAAGATCCGGGCACACTCCTGAAGAAAGAGAGGAAAGGCACAAAAACACTGACCTATGTGTGTGGTAACACAGCAAGGACGAATAAACTGAAATAGCCTCATAACTGTAGCTGTTAGTCTTTGTGTGTTCACTGTATATGCACCTGCAGGGTGGGCCCCTCCCCAGGGGCCATCTCCCCAGAGGGAAAACGCTCCACCAATGCCAGAACAGCCTCCATTCTGGAGATGGCATCTTGCTCTGCATCCAGTCTGCTCTGCAGTGCTCGTGACTCGTGGCTCAGGGACACAACTACATCTTTCTCATGCTGCAGACGTCTGGCGGACTACAGGAGGTGGGAAATAAGAAAGAAAAAAAGTGTGTCAGTATGAGGCTGAAGCAGAATTAGCTGAGTGGTAAAGAGGAAAGCTGCAGAAACTCATAGCTGTAGATATTTGGCAGATAACTTTGGTTTCCTCATACCTGTAATATGTCCTGTTCTGTGAGGTCTATCAGTAGCTGCAGATTATGTTCAAGTTCAGGGAGAGCAAAGCCTGATCCCTTCTGATCCTGTGTGGACAAGCTTGGCGGACCTTCATCTGGAACACTGTGCTTGTTGGACATCTGGCTATAGCTGTAATATACCTTTTGTTCTCGCCCAGTCATATCTATTACCTAGAGATTGGAACAGATGTGAGGTAAATGAGATTCAGACACAGAAAGGCAGCAGACCACTTGTCATCCACAAGAGCTTGTACTGAGTGTACAATTAACCTCAGTTCCTGATGCCTATTATAACATTAGCCTAATTCAGCAGTGTCCGGATAACATTCCTGTGAGACAGACACAAAGAAGTATTACAGTCAGTCTTTTCAAACATACCTTAACCTGTGCCAACTCTCCAGCAGATGCTGCTGTGCTGCGCCCTGCCACCTTGCCTTTAGCCTTTAGCTCATCCACAGTTCTGTAGGAATACTTGGGCTTCTTCTTCCCTACAGAACCTGCAGGATCCTTACGCCACTGGCCTAGCTCCTTCTGAAACTCCTACACAGAAAGATATTGAGAATAATGTCAAAATAATGTTGACTGACTCTACAGTATCACTTCTGCTGTACACTCTAACAATACAATCTAAGAGTGGGTGTGGCTGGAAAAAGAAGCAATATTCTACCTTTTCCTCCTCCTCCTCTGAGTCGACCACGGGGAAATCCTGAAGACTCTGCTGGGTTCGCTCATTGCCATAAGCACCCACTGCTCCCTTGCCTTTACGAACCTTTGCCTCAATGGGATTAATAATACCTGCAGCAATAAGAGGGTGCAAAGTCAAGAGTATACAGACTCTACTTTATTGCTCCTGAAAAACATACAGTATTATTTAATATCTAAATAACATAGCCTCCTTAGGCCTACCCACCTTGAGCGTTCTTGCCCAGGCCTTTGCCAGGTTGATAACCCATTTTCTGCAGAAGTTTCTGGCCAATTCCCTTTGTGTGCTTCTCCCAGCTACCGATGCCTTTACCAGACTGTATGCCACCTGCAAACCTTTGTGACTGGTTCCCCCGGAAGTTACCCTAGGAATAGGAAAAAAAAGACTTTGACAGAGCATTGTTACGGAATACAATGCAATGAGTAAATAAGATACACACAACAAAACTTACCATCTGGAGTTTTTTGGGTGCAATGCCACGAGGAGGGGGAGGTGCTGAAGGACCATCATCTTCAGAGTCATCAGAGCCTCCTTCCTCTTTTTGTTGGTGCTGTTTTTCCTCAGCTGCAGACTTACGAAGACCACCACTCACAAAGCTCACTGGAACAGTGTAATCTTTAGACCTGGATAAAACACAACAAATTTATTAATTTCCTAAACGACTGGGGAGAGAGAGAAAAAAAAAAGCAGCATTTCTCTGGACTATTCCTCTTGGGGTGACTAATGATGGAGTCTTGTGTCAAGGTCTTTTCCCTCTGAATGGGGTTATACATAGAGGAGATGAGTGACTCGGGTAAGGGATATAGCTGGGTGCAGGTTATGGGGAGGGAAAACACATATCGACATGGAACCAGACTTCTGCACAACAGGGGCACTGGGGCATCAACAAAAATAAACCCATGTCTTACTTCTTGCCTCCAAAGCTGGGCCTCTCATCCTCGTCTGAGTCCCTGTCAGCCCAGATGCCATAGGTGGCCTGTTCCTTGGTCTGCCTGTGCCTGCGGCGGTCTGGGTTGAACTCATTGGCCAGGTCCCATTCTGTCACCTCAAAGCTCTCTATCTCCACGCCTTCCTCCTCCTCATTTCTCTTCCCATACAGATGGGACATGGACATGGCTGTTTGTCACAATAAACAAATTACCAAGATGGTTTTAGTAGTGGAAAAACATCACATTATAAACTACACAGAAGAACCATCTACATAACCACCGAGCAAAATCTGTCTGCAAATGAAAGCTACGAGAGATGGCTGAAAGCTCGCGAGGAAATCTAGTAAGTAAGTTTGGCGTTAATCCAGTGCGTTTTGTTTATGTTGAATTCTATGTAGTTATGCTTTTGTAGTTACTATTGTCCTGGTATGGGATCAACAGCAATTTAGTTAGGCTAACAGTAGCACAGTAGCATGTCAGCTCAAAGGAAATTATAGCTGCATTATCTCAAATAGCTAGCTAGTTATGTAGCACCATTACTCTTGATTAGCATTTCTGAATAACTAACGTTACATGGCTCTACATATATCTAGCCCATGTGAGGAGAACACAACGTGAAGACAAGCTAAGATTTACTAGCAAAGGCTAACGTTAGCGAATGTAAACTGTTCGCTTTACCCCCAAAAAATGCGTGCTGCGACATAATGAAAAAAATAGTCTTCTATGACTTACCTGAAACGATTGTTATTCCCTCTAGCCGGTAATTTTGTATACCATAGAGGCAGTAATTATGCTAAAGTTAATCCAGCTAAATAGCTCCGGTTATTTTATTCGTTTCACACACGAAAATACAAGTACTTCCGGTAGGCGCCGGAAACTGCAGGTGTTGCATCAAACTCTGTACCCCGAAAGGATGCACTTGTTCACGTTAAAAATATCTCAATTCTACAAGAAAAAACAATAGTTATTTAGAAGATATTTCCCTCTATTGACTTTAGTCATTCATGGCAGTTTAGGTGGAAAACAATACTTAAAAAACATTTCGGCGTATAATAGTAGCGTTTGACAGGCTTGTTAGCCTTTCTCAAATTACATATGTCAACTGATTTCTTTCAAGATGATAGCAGGAGAAACCTCTGCTATTCTCACTGTTTAAACCATGTGATTTTAACATGATCTAACATTTAGGCCATGTCATACATGTCATATCTCCCATCGGTTTGGCCAACAGGTGTCACCATTTTTTTTTTTTTTTTTGTATGACACGATTTGAAACAGTGAACCATTTTCGACACAGTTGCTTCGTAGTGATCCAGCGCGTGACACACCTTAGTTTCCTTCACCACTACGCTGAGTTTAAATTACTCGTCTATTGCCTGTTTATTATCCACGAATCACCGGTATTTTGACAAACACGACGGCGCACCGCCAAGTGCGGAATACAAAATTTGCCTTAACACCGGAAGGAGAAATGTGTGTGTTACACTCAAAATATTCCCATTTGCTTCACACCGCTGAGTGACCGACTCCAGCCAGCACTTAACTTACAATGAAGTAAATGTTTGTATCCCATGTCCGTGTATGTGAACGTGGGGCACCGGTAATTTAGCGTACATGTCTGACACCGGGGAGGAGTGGCAGGTTGCCCGGCGACGAAAAGGCGCAGCGCGGAAATCAAAATCTCCTCAGGTGCCTTTGAATTCAACATGCTGCCAGGATCAGCTGGACATCGCGAAAACTATTAAACGAATCAGAGACACAGTGTAAGAAATCAAGTTATGCAACAGACTCATGGAATATGATTCATGTTTAGGTGGGGTCCAGTAACTGTGTGTATCCTCCTCTCTGTAGGTCTGAGCTAAGATGCGAGGAGTTTTGGCAAGAGTGGAAAAGTGAGTAAGCTTGACAAGTTGAGTCAGCACAAAATATTTTGTTTATCTGTGCAGCTTAGTGACGCTTTCAGGACTCTTGTTTGCAGATCAGCTGCTGGTGGCAGGATCAGCATCCTTCTCAAAAGCTCCAGAGAACCAAACCACAGAGCACCCCACTGACCAGCTGGGGAGCAGCAGAGATGGCAGACTGTGTCAGCAGCTGGTGTGTGTGTGTTATGGCCTTGGCTCCTTCTCCTCCTGTGTCTCCGCTCGTTACCAGCTTGCAATGTTGCTGCTGCTGCTGGATGTAGGACAGGTAAGAGGATGTGTTTATCCAATGAGAACACAAACAGTCTAATTGAAACCATGTTCATCCCTGATCCTTTCTCTTTAGATCTCACTGGAGGACTGCTCTGTTTACGACCCGGCATTCTCCTCTGGAGAGAGGGATGTCTTGAGAGAGCTGGGTCTGAATGTACTCACAGAAAATGAGGTCAGTTGATGGCCACTCGTGTTTTTTATCCAGTCAGACAAGTGAAAAATCAAATAAGACGACCTATGTCAAGGTCCCTGCAAGCTGATTTTAATGCTTACTGACTTCCTGGGAGAGTAGAAAGCCATCGCATAAACAACAGTATTCTCTCTCACTGTATTGTGCAGGAGGGGAAGCGTCTGGTGACTAAGCCCACACTCTTTTACCTGATGCATTGTGGGAAGGCCCTGTACAACAACCTCCTATGGAAGAACTGGAGTACACAATGTCTACCTCAGATGATAATCATTGGAAACAGCTTTAATGGCATAAGGGACAGGTTAGTACAGGACATGAATGAGTGAGGTGATGTTAAAGACATTGGAGGAGAGGTGATGTTTCCTGTCTGCTGTCTGTCGTCCCAACAGAACAATCGAGAGAGAGTTCCAGCGGGACTACAGCTACATCGCACAGGCTGTGCCTGCGTGTGAGGAGAGACAGCTGCCGTGTCCGTCCCGTCTGATTGATGTCTTCAGTGACACGGCAGTTATCACCTTTCCAACCAGCAGCCTTAACATACTCCCACAATCCACTTGGGCAGAGCCACCTGAACCACAGTACCAACACTGCCCTGATTTGGAGATTATTCTGAGGGAAACAAAGAGCTGAGGCAGGAGATCAGCAAGAAATGGACATGCTGTATGTTTTTTTTTATAGGCAGTTTTTTAATAAATGAATCATGCTTTAAACTGAGAACTGAATCTTGCAACATTATCATATCAAACTAGTCATACATGTTGAAATAGCAGCAGATAATGAAACATTTTTAATAATGGATATCCACACAAATGTTTGGCAGCTTAGACGTCTTCTCTGGACCGTATGGGAGTGCAATGACCCACTTGGTTGACGTCTTTGTGACTCTGTGAGCTTTGTTGCACCTGTTTTGGGTGAACACCTCTATCATTTTCCTTAGTACACAGAATTTAATGACCTTAGCATATTCCCAGTATAGCTCTCCTCAACTTTCTGAGTATCAGTGTTTTATTTGTTGCTATTTCCAGAGTGTGGTTCCACTTCCACTTTCTCATGTGAAGACAGGAACATCTGAATTTCACACTAAAGATGTTAGTTGAATCTTTAAGCAACATTTTATTAGTTATTAGCTCTGATACTGACACAGGCTCCCTAAGTTTTCTTTACAAATATGGCATTTTGAAGGGTTTGTGAAAAAAAGTAATGGGGGTACTGGTCTGTTTAGCAACCTGGACCAGTTCCTAACACCACATGATGACCTTCTTTTGTGTTTTTGCTGATCTTGTGGTTTATTTCTCACCTTGCTGCAGGGATGTTTAGGTTTACTCCAGGACAACATGACATCACTGTTGGGTACGGTTACAGGTAAATCAAAGCACATTTCTGACCACACCCTTCAGTGATTTTGGGTGCGGCTTGGTGTGGCTCCCTTTTGCTTAGCATGAGCCTTTCTGAATACCTAACACTTTTTCATTGTGGGAACTTACCTGTTTTTGAAATGATGTGTTCCTTTTTTGGGAAAAAAACCCCTGCTGTAATAATGTAACTTTTATGTGGGGAAAAAAGTTGTTTCTTAAGCAAGTTACGTGGCTGTGCAGACTGATTTCTACAGATTAACTTTTTTACCATGAACTATATCAGCTGCTGTCTGGAAGATAAAAACAAACTAGTATTACCACATTGCAGTTGTATGCCTCCGCACACCAGTCAAGTTGCAGCTTACATCTATGTCTGTCCAGACTCATGTGTAGCCATGACAGTTTACAATGCTTAAAATGTGGATGTTGCTGCAAAGACAGACATCCAAAACATGGATTATTCACACACATCTTCCCCCTGGCAGCTTAGTAGATCTATGCAATCAGCACAGTGTCAAGAGTAGTGTCACCAATTTAGCATCTGACCAAATGTCTCCCCTTTTGTTCCTGAGTTATAATAATGGATATTAAAGTGTGTTTGCAGACCATTTTGATGTCAAAGTAAAGTTGACCTTTTGGATATACAAGGCTATCACTTAATCTTTTTATCCTAATAGACATCTGTGTAAAATTTTGTCATAATTAGCCAAGTCTGAAGGAATTCCCTCAAGGTGTTCTTGAGATACTGGGTTTACAAGAATTAGACAGACTTGACCTTCGACCTTTGACAACTGAAATCGAATCAGTTCATACTTGAATCCAAGGAAATGTTTGCACCAAGTTAAAAGAAATTCCCTCAGGGCAATCTTGAAACGTTGTGTTTACGAGAATGGGACAGACAACCCAAAAACACAGTACCTCCAGCTATAGCTGTCACCAGCGTGGAGGTATGAAAACACTATGGTATGTTTTATAAAGTGGTAGTAGTGTATATAAATGTAAATGGAGGAAAGAACACAGGTGTAGTCTTTTTACATTGATACTCCAGTTGTGGTGTTCTGGGCCTATCAGTTGTTTGTCTCACAGGTGGTTTAACAGAATCATACCTTCACACACCACGTTCACATGCATATACTATGTATGTATATGCCAAAAAAGTCAACAACGTAAGTGGTAAACCAGAATAAAAAGTTTATTGTTGGAAAAAAAATGGCACTCAGTACAGCCCTCTCCCAGCATCAGCAATAACATCACCAACTCAAAGTAATATTCATCATCTCTGTTACCTGCTTCATGTTCACTGGACTAAAATACATCTTGGATCCTGGGAGAGTTTTATCTTACAGCAGTGACGTGGAAAAACTCGACTACAACACTGTTTTTCTGTTATGATATGTCTTTACTCCTCAGCTTCTCCGTTAGCAGTGGCACTACCTGCTACTCCATTGACTGCTGTGTTTCCTGCTCCACTGGCCTTTGAAACCACATCTGCCCAGGTGCCTTTACTCTTAAGGAATGTCGGGCTCACAGCAGCGTCAGAGGCTCCATTAATTTCACCATTAACCTCACCTGACTCTGACTTCATCTCATCAGCTGTTACATCAGATTTGACCTCCCCATTGGCTGTGCTGGTGTTTACTTCATTTGGTGCACTGGTGTCAGTTTCCTCTCCTGCAGCCCTGACCTCTGACTCCCCATTCACTACCTTGACCTCAGCATCTGCGGCTGCTCTGTCACTGTCTTTTCCACCTACATCTGTTTTCTCCTCCTGCTGGCTCTCTTCAGCTGGCTCCAACACATCACCATTAGCTGAAACTACGGCAGCACTCTCCACCGCCACGTTCTCTTCCACTGGCTGCTCCTGTTGGCTCTCGCTGGTTTTCTCCACTGCTGGGCTTCCTCCATCCTCAGCTTCCTTCCCGCTTCCTGTTTCTTGATAGGAGTTCTTCTCCTCTCCAATTACAGTCTCTATGATGATGCGCCCGTTAGACACTGTGAGTCCCAGTTCTTTTCTCACTGCTTCCTTTAGTTCGTTGTGTTTCCTCCTGTACTCCTGGAGCCCATCTCTGCGAAAACACAATGAATTCATAAGTGACTTCCTGTCTTACGACAAATAATTGTAATACATGTGCATGCAGCTGGAGCCAGTTG